CAAATCCGCGCAGAAACAACAGGTCAGATTGTTGATGTAGGTATTGTAGATTTACGATCTCATTTCAGTTCTACAGTTCAACCCATAGATAGACGTCCACGTCTAAGTTCTACAGTTCAACCAGTAGAACCAACAGTTCTGCTTCCACGACTGAGTCCTACAGTACAACCATTGCTACATGTCAGTTCTACAGTGCGACCTTTTGATGCACTCCCACCACGCCCAAATATCAGCTATGCAGTTTCTCTTACAATTTACTAGTAATTGAAAAAAAATTTCTTTGATATGTGAAATATACAAACCGATGTTAGATGTCTCTACAACTAGTTTTATGAATTTGAAAATATTGGATCGGATCAACTCTACAGAGCAATTTAATTATGAAGCACATCAGTTGTATGATTTGAAGATTATAATGCATATTTTTATCTCCATAGAAAAAACAATGAAGATTTTAATGCACTTCAGTTAAAGATAAATAAGGTGTTCCAGTTACAATTGCACACATCATGATCATCTCTATGATTTGAAAATAACAATGCATATTACCTCTAAAAAAAAAAAAGAAAAAAAATCATGCACAACAGTCCCATCTGTATAGATATCATGATGACGTCATTTCTGTCTCTTCTGCTGTCCATGGTGATTAATGTTCTAATCCTGGCAACAATGAGTTGGATGCTATCCAATGACACCCCTGCTATAAGCAGATAATACTGCATACAAAATGTACATATATGAGCATCTGAAACAAGCTTTCATGTCCTTTGTATGTGGGGGGACCAGGAAGCATGAACAGGAGATGGGTGAATAAATCACGCATTCTCAATTTATAGTGCCAAATCGGTCTGTGGAAAAGTCAACAAATTTTGTGAATTGAGATATGAAACTTGTAAGTGTAAAGTTATTAAAAATCACAATCTGAATTTCATACTTCATGCTATGTTTTGTTGACCTCATTCGAAATGAACGCTATTAGAAAGCTAATTTTACACCAAGAAAAAATATGTGATGTTGATGGGCCATAATTGAAACGAAAGGAAACAAAAGATTTATCTGAGAGAAAACAATTTATGACACCCCCCCCCCTTTCCATCATTTAATCTGTTAATTCAAATTGCTTAATTGCTTGTTAAAACTTTATCGATAAAACTCAAAAACAAAACAAAATACACCCCCCAAGAAAATACTAGTTTGTCAATAATTACAATTGCATGTTACAAGTATTTTATGGAGCAATATACAGTCTACATATAACTTGAATTGAATTTTTAGTACCATTAAAGCATAGGCATATACCTTCTATGTCTAAGCAAAAAATTTAATGGGAAAAATTAGGATCACAATGTAACAGGGTTTTCTTATGGTGTTAAAGAAGAACTCCTGCGTCTAAGGTTCGATCATTTTATTTTGTCATGTTGAATAAATAAATACATCAATAAAGCCCTGAAAATATCAATAACAAATTATAAGTATTTAGAAAACAAACAACCATATTACATTTATAATGATATTCATAAATTTAGGCATGAATTACTTTATAATAATCGATCATAAAAGTATTACACATTATACTGAGCATTGAAATAAATACATGGAAAAGTAAGAGTTATTTCCCTTACATCGACGTCTTGAAAACGAGAATATAAATCGAACTATTCCAAATAGAACTATTACAAATAAAATGAATAGTTCACAAATCTATTTGCAATAATATATACACAATAAATAGAAAATAATTGTAGGTATACCTGATTGTGGATCAAGGCTCAAACAATGGCCACCCGATAAAAATAACGGGTCTTGATATATAGACTCCTATTAAACAATAATTATATTCTATATACACTTCTGCATAATTGATATTTTATTTACATACTCAAAGAATTTATACTTTAAGCTTCATTTAATAATGATAAAGTTGAACTCAGTATATCTTCACAAAATTACATTAAAAATCAAAGACGATGAATTATCGGAAAGTATAGAATAAGAATTAGTATAGATAAAAGAAATAGAAGTCAACTTACAGTCTCTGTCCTGAGGTCTCGTCTCAATATTAATATTGTATATAATGATGACCAAAAATACTCATCTCACTTTCTCAATGGTCTATAGATGTCTGACCGATACACAAAGAGATCGGCGGGAAAAACGTCCCTAACCAATCGCAAGCTTGGTTATTAAAACTGACCAATAACATTACATACCCTCAGGATAAGTAAGAACTTCTAGAACATAAGTAAAGATTAAAACCAAATGAAGTTGTAATATTTTATTAATTTTATTAACGGTGAGCGCAAAACTCCGTGAAAACGAAATGCTGCGCGATGCTAAAAATAAAATATATACACGTGAATATTAAGTCACTGAACTATATAATATAATATTCACTTAATAAAATAAATTAAAATATCACTCTATCACAACAATTTAATATTTCTTGCAAGCAATAAAATGGGAATAGATTCAATTTCGACCCGTTAATATCTTGGGGCACCCAACATCCACAGCCGTCTTTTTTTTTACCTGATGTGGTACACCTCCCCCCCCCCCCCTTCTCTAAATACAGTGTCAATTCTCCGGAACTATATTTCCTACGAATAATGATATGGAGAAGTAACATAATACTGAGTTGCCTGAAGATTGTCTCTTTCTGTTGTGTTATTTAAAGCTTATTAATCCAGATTTAAAAAAAAAAGCTTAATAAAGTAAATATTGATTATGATATCGTGAATACATCTGAAGTCCCTATTCAAGAAGCACTTTTTTTAATTTAATTATCGAATCTAGCTTCTTATATGTATTATAATTATACTTTAGTTAATATCATTATAAAATTATAAATAATTATATTATAATTGATATATGATTAACATTTGTAGGCGTTGTATGACACAATCATATCATTTTACCAATTTTTTCTAAAAGAACTGCAATTTCATTAGTAAAAATTTGCCCTCTTATATTATAAATGTTTAGTACGGTATACAATTTAAGTTTATAACCATTTTTAGTTGACGATACACTATCAGTTCAAACAAGCAGCAAAATAAACTCTAAGAACTTTTTGTTTCAGATTTACGTTACGAATGGTAACGTTAAAGCTTTGCACTAAAACTGTATAAAATTAACCAATTGCTCAAGATGGAAACATTCAATTCTACTTGTGAATAATATTATGTCAATTCAATTTTCAAATCACACTGATGCAAAAGATATTAAGTAAAACATTTTCACCTTTGCACTTCCATTTGCATCTCTGCACTTTGCCCCCCCCCCCCCTCCTCCCCAGTGCCATTGTAAGAAATAGTGTATTTCTCAGTTTTTAAAATAATGAAGATTCACCCGCAAATCTGTTCAAACAGCCTTAGAATTTAATTTTAATTCATAGTAACGTAAATATCGGTAACGTAAATATGTTATGAGCTTAAGCCTTTATATCGTTGTTGATTTATTATTCCACTGTTAAATAAAGGCATATTCTAGTGCTTGAGTGTAGGCCAGTTTGATCCACAGGAAACAATGTTGTTCTCTTACTTAATTTGTGAATAAATACTAACACGTAAATATCAATGAATTTTTTAACCACTGGACTTATAATAAAGGGGGGGGGGGCTATATTTGATAAATACAGATAAACAATGTCTTCTGTACCATTCCATATAATAGAATAAATGTTCTTGATGTTAAAAAGTTGCCTATCCTGTTAGTATGAGGTCCCTGCGAACATTCATTCTGAATGTGTGAATCCTTCTTTTGTTTATAATTTTTGTTTGCTAACCTTGTGTATTTTTTATTAAACTGTATATGGCCAATTTTTAAACCTTAACAAAAGAACACAGAATGACATACAGATGGAATTGACGGAGAAATCACATATTTTCGAGAAAATAAAAACTTATATTCATTAGTTGGGGGGGGGGGGGTCCACGGTTTAAGTGGTTGTGTATAGAGAGTCCTTAAGGTCAAGATCTAGTAAATGAAGAGTGCCTACAGATTTCTCAAATTTGAGAAACAAATTCCTTTAATAATCTTTTACAATTGTAGCTAAATAAATTGAGGTGTATCGGGGCATAATTTTTAGATAAACGCAACGAAAAAAAACATATTTTAAACTGCCCTTTTCAATGAAAAATGAACAAAATCAGGTTTTAAAAAAATGGGAGTTTTCTCCATCTCAGACAAACAAAATGTATCAATATTGCCTGCAGTCTCTCATAAATGGTTTTTCATATCTTCTTGACCTCTTCTTTAAAATGATATTAAATTGAATATAGGTATCGGGGTTCCTTTTTTAGAAATGATTTCAAATTGAATTCCATGAAAATGTGTCATTTTCTACTTAATTCTGTTATCTAGCCGTAAAATACGGGAAAAATAAAATTTAAATTATGATGTCATAATGGATTTAGCACCAAAAGACAGACTAAACTCATTTACTAGACCTTGAGCTTAAAAAAAACCTAACAATTTTCCTCTTCTCAACGTATGGCTCCAATCCACTCCTGTCATATAATAATCCTTCAGTTGGCAAAGAGAGGGACAAGGCTTTAACTGACACAATACACAGGTAGCGATATAGCGAGCGGATCAAATGATGTGCGTTATACCTCCTTGAGATCCGCCCATTTCTTGTTCGCCTTTGCGCACAGGGCAATATGGAAAGATTCATCATGTGATTATTACGTCATTGAATCTTTCCGGATCGAAGCCAGTAAATATTCCTTCTTTTTTGAAAATAAACAGTTTTATCCGCATATGAATAGATGTAATAATTTAGCATGGGACATCGTTTATGCAAATATTGATAAAATAGTACATAAATGAAATATTACCAGGCCAGATCCAAAGCGATAATCGGATTGTTTGACGTCATACGATTTGAATATTCATGACTTCGTGTCCTCGAAGAAGGTGGGTCACAGCATGTGCACAGAAGGGAAAACCTTGATAAAATTGTAATTTAAAGGAAACTTATTTATATTTATGTGTTTTGCAAAAGGAATACCTCTTTCCGATTGTTGTAGGTAGCATAAACACACTAGGTTGCTCATTTTCTTGTGAGGAAACCGACAACAACGCAGAAGATTATTGTGGTCGCCATTTTCCACAAAGGAAATGCCAACTATGGCCCAAATCACAGACACAACAGGTACCGTTTTCACTGTTTTACTGGTTTAGTCATTCTGTGAGTTGCTTTGTAAGTATTTTGTTCACACAATGCTTTGTGCTTGCTTGGCGTAAGGATAATACTGTAGTTCTGTTTGTTGTGCCACAGATATACTCTGAAGATCTTGATGACAATTTATTGCGCAAAAAGCACTGTACCAATGAAAACCAAAATTTAGGTCCACCATATGTACATAGCAATGAGGGAGAAATGAAACGGGATGGGACAGTTTATCTCTGTAATAAAATCTCCAATTAGCCCCTATATTGCTGTTTGTTGGTGTCCCCAGAAATGTTTTTGACACGTGCTTGTAAGGGATTAACAATATGTAAATAAACATAAATCAGTATGAGTTGTGATTATGTTTGATGCTTCTATATAATTGATCTGGACATGCTAGAATTGATGATATTGGCATGCCCCACTATGTTAGTTGGGAACTACAGCAACAGGTCCCCTTAATCCGAGATTCCTCAGACTCCAACCCCCCGCTTTTATATTGTGACGTGTGGGGGAGAGACAAAGCAAATATTTTGGGCAGTACATTCATGATTTCAGTTGAGTAAAAGTACTGGGTACCAGCACATTTTGAAAGGCCAGGCTTACCTTTTACAACTTTTATTTTGTGGATCTAACTTACGAGACATGAGAATTCAGTAGATATGATGCTATTGCTTTTAAACAGCCCCATCTCCAACAATATTGAAGCATCACTTGAATTAGGTCCTCCTCACCATTGTATTTCTTTTCACATGATTTCAGCACACAGCTGTGATCATTACTTTCTCTGCATGAATGGAAAGCTGCAATGCATTTAGTGAGATGATCTGACTGTACTGGAATTGTCCCTAACCTGTTTTTATTTAGGTTGCAAAGGATAATTAAAATCATGATTAACATCCATCACCCTCCCCTCCCCCTCTCTCAAGAAAGGAGAAGTATTGATTTTTGATCTCCCAAACACATTCACCGTAAAGATTCAACAGCAAAATAATATAATCTTTTGGTATTTTTCATTTCTATAGCAGGATATAGGAAATTGCTCTCTTATTTGTTAATGATAAAGTATGTGATAATTTGTAGGTTTGGCTGAGCTGGCCCATCAAGAGTATCAGGCCGGGGATTATGACAACTCGGAGCAACACTGTATGCAGCTGTGGAGACAGGAACCAGAGAACACGGGGGTCTTGCTCCTCCTCAGCTCCATACACTTCCAGTGCAGGCGACTAGAAAGGTACAATAGAGAAGCATCAATCTTAAATTAATTTAGCCTTATGTGCAGGCGACTAGAAAGGTACGATAGAGAAGCATCAATCTTAAATTAATTTAGCCTTATGTGCAGGCGACTAGAAAGGTACGATAGAGAAGCATCAATCTTAAATTAATTTAGCCTTATGTGCAGGCGACTAGAAAGGTACGATAGAGAAGCATCAATCTTAAATTAATTTAGCCTTATGTGCAGGCGACTAGAAAGGTATGATAGAGAAGCATCAATCTTAAATTAATTTAATCAAAAAATCATTTTGTAATGGTTAAGGAATTTGAAATGCATTGAAAGTTATATGAAGGTATTTGGTGTTATAATATATTCCTCAAATTGAAAGAAAATGTCTACTAAGGTTGATAATGGCACTAAATTTCTGTCCTTGTGATATAGGTCAGCATACTTTAGCCAGCTTGCCATCAAACAAAACCCTATGCTAGCAGAAGCGTACTCCAATCTAGGAAATGTATTCAAGGAGCGAGGACAACTTCAGGAAGCACTTGAAAATTACAGACACGCTGTCAGACTAAAGCCAGACTTTATAGATGGCTACATCAACCTGGCAGCTGCCCTCGTAGCAGCGGGAGACATGGAGCAAGCCGTACAGGCCTATGTCACAGCTCTACAGTACAACCCAGTATGTTTGTTCATATGTCAGTTCAGTACTACCTAGTATGTTTGTTTATGTCACAGCTCTACATTATAACCCAGTATATTTGTCTCGAGACCTTATGTAATAAATGATTTTGTTTTTCCAGGATCTCTACTGTGTGCGGAGTGACTTGGGAAATCTTCTGAAGGCTCTGGGAAGACTGGACGAGGCAAAGGTAGTGATTGCATCAGTGCTATAAATAGGAACTCTACAGCTGATCAGATGCCTTGGTTCTCTCTGTGTTTTCTTTTTGACATGTAGATACAAATGACTTTCATTCGTAAACCTCTCATAGAGGAAATGTTGAAGTCATTTCATTTTGCAAATAGCCCAAAATGTTAATTTTTCAAGTTTTAGGCTGTATAAGAACCTGCATCTGTGGATTAAGATGAGGAAGAAAATAGAAATAAAATACAATTTTCAGTGGCAAATAATTTGCAAAATGAAAGCCTTTTTTGTCAATTTTCTTTCCATTTAGATGTGTGATTAGTTCAGAAGATATGACTCTCATTGAAAAATATATATTGATCACCATGCAATGACTGACAAAGTTTGAAGCAGAATATCTGCAAAAATATCTGATACTATAATTCAATGTGATATTTATCTTCTTAGCTATTGAATGCAGCTGGCGATAAGAGGCAACCAACATGAAGAAGCAAAACATTTCAATACAAGCCCCCATTCTTCTTGCTCTTTCTGTGTCTCATGGTCTGTCAAGATGTTCCAAGAATAATCCTAAACCATCCAGAATATTGAAATGTTTTGAAATGTATTTATATTGCAAATTTTATGTAGAAAGTCATTTGTGTCTTCAGTGTTTTAGCTTTTAATTTGAAGAATTTCATGAGGAAACAAATTTTTAGAGTTGGACTAGCTAGGAATCAAATATATGCATAGATAAAAATATGTGAAGAATTTGAGATCTTCACCAAAAAAGAGAATAAGAAATATTGATGTATAATTGAATCTTGTTTTATTTTGATATAACATGGTTTTTCTTTTGTTACTAATTTCTACTTATTTTGGTATTAATCTGAGCATTTTCTTTATAATTTCTGTAATAGTATACGAGGTGCCTCGCCTCCTTCCTGGGGATGTCTGCAGTAAATGCTACAACTGGTATGACTCTATATGGTAATTATTGCCAGAAAAATTTGATGTTCTAGTGGTAATTGGAGGTATTGTATGCTACATGTGTATGTAGTCTCAAATAAAAATCCTGTAAAATCTGGAAAAAAAAATCTCAGTGCTAACAAAATTGACATCTTTTTCAGAACAAAAAAAAGAAAAAAAATCTAAATTATAAATTTTCTCTATTTAAAAAAATCCATCTCTACCATTACCCAGTGCTGCGCGCGCCCCGATCCTGTCGCTGCGGTCGCTAGCGGAACACAGCCTTCTGACAGACATGTCACAAAATAAGATCAAAAGTAATTGTTTTCTTGTAAATGGTTGAAAAATTTAATAACATTATGCAAGGCAGACTTGTCAGAAGGGTTGTTCGATTACAACTTGTTTGATTTGAAGTAGTCCAGACTTAACCAACAGTTGACAAACTTGGGCAGAGTTTATGGGAATGATTAATAATGAGAGTAGAAGTGTCATATGTCCAGTAGTCATGACTGCTTCAAAGAAATGGTTTCTGATCTCAGTTTGACATTATACTAATTATTTATAGATACTTGAAATCTATCAAAGGCTGGTTTTAAGTCGATGATTAAAGGTTAAGTTGCTTAACTTGATAGTCATGACAAGCAGATGTCAGGAATCATTATTTTTTGTTCAGATGGGTTGTAGGAACTTGCGCGTTGTTCGCTCCTGCTGCGCATGCTGTTGCGCTGAACAAGTATATTTTTCACTCTTTTAACTTTGAATATTTTCTCTTTTATTTAGACTTGTTATTTAAAAGCTATTGAGACACAGCCAAATTTTGCTGTGGCATGGAGTAACTTGGGATGTGTTTTCAATGCACAAGGAGAAATTTGGTTAGCAATCCATCACTTTGAAAAGGTAGATATTGAAGAAAAGATTGTAATAAAAAGCTATTTGAAACTTGATGATTTGTGAAGCCAGTTTCAATGCAGCAGTAATTATACTCTGTTTCTCTCCTATTACAGGCTGTTGCTCTAGATCCCAACTTTCTGGATGCGTACATAAACCTAGGAAATGTACTGAAAGAAGCTAGAATATTTGACAGAGCTGTAGCAGCTTACCTGAGGGCACTAAATCTGAGTCCCAATCATGCCGTGGTACACGGAAACCTGGCTTGTGTGTATTATGAACAGGGGTAGGTCTTATTATCTGTACCAACGTCTACATCTTTATTTGTTAACATCCCATGATCAGTACATCTGTATCTCTTAAAATCAGCTCAGAATCAACAGAATATTATTTTTTTATTGTGTATTAAATGAACATTGATTTGTTCCTCAGATTGATTGACCTTGCCATAGACACCTACAAACGTGCCATAGAACTGCAGCCAAACTTCCCTGATGCTTACTGTAATCTGGCTAATGCACTGAAAGAGAAGGGCAAGGTATGTACTGTTTACAGCTAGACTATAAATAAGGGAACATTCTCTATCCCCTCTACTTAAAGTTATGTTTTACTTTAATTCTGAAAAAAAAAAATTCAACTCAAACCTATAGTGCAGAAAGCTTCATAGTACATGTCCAGTCAAATTTGAGGTATTTTCACGTCAGTTTTCAATGTTGATGATAAACTTTCTCTTTCTATTGAAGTGAAAGTGTCACAAATATTAGAAACTGAAGATTTCACAGGATGTAAATATATGCTGTGGTTATAATGTATTTTGTCAGGTGGTGGAGGCTGAGGAGTGCTATAACACAGCCCTAAAACTGAGCCCTACACATGCTGATTCCCTCAACAATCTGGCCAACATCAAGAGGGAGCAGGGCAATACAGAAGAAGCTGTCAGACTCTACCTCAAGGCTTTAGAGGTTGGTCCCTCTGACTCGTTTAATTACTAGGGAGATTGAATACATCGAAGAAATAAGGTCAGAAATGAATTGATAAAGGCTGACTTTCTTTGTAGGTATATCCAGAGTTTGCTGTAGCCCATTCTAATCTTGCCAGTGTGCTACAACAGCAGGGCAAACTCCATGAAGCCCTCATGCATTACAAAGAGGCAATCAGGTGGGCATTCAGCATTGTTCAAAAACTTGTGTTGCTTTCTCAAAAGCAGATGTGCTGTTTAAATTTCCTGTTTGCAACAAATTTCTTTGCCTTTTAGGATTTCTCCCACATTTGCTGATGCATACTCTAACATGGGAAACACCTTAAAAGAGATGCAGGACATACAGGGGGCCCTTCAGTGTTACACGAGAGCCATACAGATTAACCCTGCCTTTGCTGATGCCCACAGCAATCTGGCATCCATTCACAAGGTACATACAGGGAAAGGCAATGAAGTGTCAGAAGTAGATATGAGTAGGTGGTTCATAAGTTGTATGTTTTAGAATCACTGAAATGTTTATATTGTGTGTATTCAAGGATTCTGGTAACATCCCAGAGGCCATTGCATCCTACAGAACAGCCCTAAAGTTGAAGCCTGATTTTCCTGATGCCTACTGTAATTTGGCACATTGTCTCCAGGTAGGTCACAGAACACATTATTTTGGGTAAGGCTAGCTAATACCATGAATTTATACTTTATTGAATGTATACAATAAATCTGAATAGTTAATCAATAAACAGTAAGTTTGAAGTTGATTGTGTTTCACAGATTGTGTGTGACTGGACTGACTATAGCTCACGGATGAAGCGACTTGTTCACATTGTGAAGGATCAGCTGGCTAAGAATCGCCTGCCCTCGGTCCACCCTCATCACAGCATGCTCTACCCATTGTCTCACAAAATGAGGAAGGCCATAGCAGCCAGGCATGCTAACCTGTGTCTGGAAAAGGTAATTTCACCATTCAGAGATTCGAATTCGGGTAGGGGTAATGATTTTAAAACATAAGGAAGGGGTTAATATCTTGTGAAAATCTCAACAAGATATTGATAATATAAATTATATGTATTACTTAAGAAATATTTTGTTAGTAGTGTTTAAATGTATCCTTTCTCATACAGATAAATGTTTTACACAAACCTCCATATGACCATCCCCGGGATCTGAAGGAACCCAAGGGAAGGCTGCGGATTGGTTATGTTAGTTCTGACTTTGGAAATCACCCCACCTCTCACCTGATGCAGAGTATCCCAGGGTTCCACAACAGAGACAATGTAGAGGTAAATATACAGGTTCACAAGAAATAGTCATTCTACATCGCTCAGTTTCACAAGGTCTTTATTTCTTTATTAGACATACAGGTGCATATAGCATTGATTCTCTATCACAGATTTTCTGCTATTCCCTGAGTCCTGATGATGGAACCACCTTCCGTGCCAAAATCAATGCGGAGGCTGAACATTGTATAGACCTGTCCCAGATCCCCTGTAATGGCAAGGCAGCGGACAGAATCTACGCTGATGGAATCAACATCCTGGTGAACATGAATGGGTACACAAAGGGAGCCAGAAATGAACTGTTTGCTCTCCGACCTGCCCCCATTCAGGTCAGTATAGCCATTATCCCAGTCATCCAAGATTAAATATATTCTTCCCTGGAGTTTTGTCATGGTTAATAAAAGAATTATTAAAGTGTGAATTAACTTGAAAAGAGTGCTATATATCATAGAACCCTATTTTTTCCTTTAACATTGTACCAATTAATGCAGATTTTAATGTCATGTAAATGTGTGCTTGATTTGTAGGTGATGTGGTTAGGTTACCCTGGAACCAGTGGTGCTACTTTTATGGATTACATCTTGACTGATGAGGTGACCTCCCCCCTGAACTTAGCTGATCAGTACTCAGAAAACCTGGCCTTTATGGCCCACACCTTCTTTATAGGAGACCACATGCAAATGTTTCCTCATCTGAAGGAGAAGCTTCTGATTGAAGTAGACGGAAAAGTGTCGGACAACAACATTATTCTGAACGGGGTCAACCTCGAACCTCTTAAACAGAGCGGCCAGCTCAAGGTCAGTATATGTAGATTATGTCATAGTTCATATAAGTATACAAAATTTCAATGATTTGAATTTATGCAAGTGCGACTTGAATCTTGGAAATTTGTTGTGCAGTAAGAAATTTGTTTCAAGTGTACTGATAAACATGCTTATCCTTATTGCAGTCTATAACATACACTGCTGAACATGGAGAGACCACTGATAACAATGATGGAAGCCCCGCCCAGGTGACCTTTGACTTCATGTCTCTCCCTGTACAACCAATTATACAGACAATGACCCAGACAGGCCTCTCACACTCATGTATCAATGATGTCATCATCCAAAATGGCGTCACCACCAACCAGGTATTTATCTCAAGCACAGTGTTATATGTTCAAGGATACTTGTTTTATTGCAAACTAATCATTAATACAGATGAAATACTCTGTAGATAGTGTTGACAATTAATGAAATTGTGTGATGGTATTAATTTAGGAGAATTTTGTTTGTAGTGATGTTAATCTTATTTTGCTCAATATTACTAGACAAACAACAAAGCTGCTACAGGGGAGGAGGTGCCACAGAACATCATTATCAGTGCTCGGTCCCAGTACGGACTGCCGGAGGACGCTGTCGTTTACTGTAACTTTAATCAGCTGTATAAGATTGATCCACAGACTTTACACATGTGGATAGAAATCTTAAAGCAGGTGCCTGATGGTGTGCTGTGGCTACTTAGATTCCCAGCTGTGGGGGAAACCAATGTTTTACAGACTGCGGCTAATGCTGGACTCTCTGCCGGCCGAATCATATTTTCTCCAGTAGCACCTAAGGTATGGTGTCCATCATTTCATACAGAGCTTGTGACATTCTTAACACTTGCATAGGGATTTATTCAGCTTTATTTAAAGAAAAGATTATTTCACTTTTGTCCATTTTTTCGCAAAATTTTGTGAATCAATTCATGGCCTTCAATTGAATTTTCAGAATGATAGAATAAATTTATCAAAATTACATTTCACATAGAAATAAATAAATTTCAATGGTATGGATTAGTTTAAGTGTATTTTACATGGGATTATGGGGATGAAGATAATCATTGGATTTTTGTTATATTAATCTATTGATGCCTACTTTATGTAGGAGGAGCATGTAAGACGAGGACAGTTAGCGGATGTTTGTCTGGACACGCCCCTCTGTAACGGCCACACAACAGGCATGGATGTCCTATGGGCAGGAACTCCCATGGTCACACTATTAGGTGAGACATTTCTACCATTTTAAGCATTGCAGCTTGTAATGGAGGATCAATATATGAAAACATTAAAGATTTCATTATTTATAGGAGAGACTCTGGCTTCCCGAGTTGCTTCCTCGCAGCTGACCACGCTTGGCTGTCCTGAACTTGTAGCGAGGACAAGTGAGGATTACATCAGAATCGCCTCAAAACTTGGCACAGATAAAGCTTAGTAAGTTTTCTAGCAGTGTAATTGTAAACCAATTTTCACCTTTTTGGGGATTAAAGGCAAAAACAAATATGTAGCATTTAGTAAAATTTCAATTCCCTAACACTTGTTGGAATTTCCTATTGCAGCTTAAAGGCAATGAGAGCTAAGGTTTGGAAAGCAAGGATAACAAGCCCCCTGTTTAACTGTAAAACCTACGCCCGGAACATGGAGGTGTTGTACAGAAAGATGTGGCAGAAGTACGTTAATGGAGAAGATCCCAGTCACATCGTGGACACCTCCAAACATAGAATGACCTCATGATCCCCCTCATCTGTGTGTCTCATCAAAGTAACGTGACACTGCCCCCCAGAACTAATGTAATAGTGCTTTGTGTAACAGAGAGCTATACCCCCCCGCTACATTGACTTCAGATTATGTATAGCATACTGTAAATTACTCGTGTGATCATTGTACGAGGATACCCACTGTATCTTTGCATAGAGACAATGTAATGACAAGTATTTATTTCCTGTGTGTATTTATGGTGCATGTATCCATTGTGTTCGGAGAGTCGGTTAACATCTCCTGAAGCTGTATGTTGATCTGTTCTTGTTAATCAATGGTTTTTCTTGGCTTGATTTTAGTTCTAGATTTAAAGGAATGATTTTCTTTTTTATCACAATTTTAGAAATTATATTCCTGTTTTGATTATTTAAGATGTGATGAGTGAGTGAACAATTATGCATCTGAAAGTGTTAGAATTGATGTTTGAGTACTATAAAAATTCATAAACCTAATGTGCAGAAATGAAATGGCTGCCATGTTGTGCTGAGTGAATGTTGAATCTTTTTTATGGCAAGTAAATTTAATAGTCAAAGCTTGTCTTCCATAGAGAAGTAGTAAGAAGATGCAGAGAGAGAGAGGTATTAATGAAATGATGTATGCAGGAGCCATTGAATTTTTTTTGTTTATGTCTGATAAAAATATTAAACCTGATACTGCTTGTTTTCATTAAAGTAATGAGAAACTGGAACATAGGTTACCCATGTGAAGTTGCCATGAAAAAAAGGGTTAGTGCCCTTCCTGTATCTAGGAAACAGCAGAATGTATAGGCTGCTGTTTTCTAGCATAGAAACTTAAAAATGTCGGGATGACCTTAAGGGAGTCTGATGAGTACAGCTGGTATGACTTAAGGGAGTCTTGATGAGTACAGTTTTCTACATATGGTCAGAGACCCTAGGCCAAGCTGAGGGCAGCTCTGCTGAACTGCAAGGTATTCCAGTAAATATTTGCTATCCCAGTGAAAGTGTGCAATGCAGGTGTACAGGCCTAAAACTTTTTTATGACATAAAATTGTGTAATGAGTGAGATTAGAGTTTGAATAACCATATACCCTGACACATACTTTGTTACAAGGGAGGATGCACAAACTTTTGTGTAACAGGAAAGGCATGGCACCAAATATGTAACTAAAGGAGAAAATGCAATGAACCAGACCAGATTCGATTGCTGGTGGACAGATAGAGCACCTGACTAGAGATTCAGGGAGCCTGGGTTCATTGCATTTTTCTCCTTTCAAGTTGCATTTGGTGCCTTGACATGCCCTGGAAGTGACAGGTGAAAGCCCTGCCAGGGTTGTTGTCACTGGGAACGAAGTCCTTTAAGGAGGGAGGAATGGGGTGCTGAGGCTAGTTTGATTGCAGATGGCCAGATAGCTCAGTTGGTAGACTAGTGATTCAGGGGGCCCGGGGTCGAATCCCTGTCTGGTCAGTCGTATATTTTTCTTCTTTCCTTTTAAACTTGTAATAAAGATGATCGATACAGTGAAAGATTCATTAAATTACATTTAGTGGTGTAAGAGGCATTGCAGAGAAGGGATGGCTACCCACAAGTAACATTCCATCATGAAATACCCCAACCTATTTAAGGGGAGGGGAGTATGATATTAGTATTTTTTTTAAGAATTTGATATGATTTCTAGAATGTTCAATTTTAGCCTTAATTTTCACTATGATCATATTATAAACAAGATGTGTTCGTGAAACACTGATGCCCCCATATGGCAACTTATAGGTTAAACTTTCTCAAATGCAAATCAAATATGCTGGTACCCAAAGTAAAGGTCTTGTACCGAGGAATATACCTGTGAATGGTGAAAGCCCTAGCAGCAACCATTGAAAAGATAAGAAAAAGGTTGAAGTTTTTCAAAAGTAAGTCAAACATCAAGGTCAAGGTCAAAATTAATGGTGCCAAAGGAAAGGCCTTCTCAAAAGAAATCAACATGTGAAATATGAAAGCCCTAGCAATGACCGTTTAAAAGACATGGCCAAGGTTAAAGTTTTTCAAAAGTAGGTCAAACTCCAAGGTCAAGGTCAATGGGCTATAATTGTTGGTATCTAAAAGAAGGGCTCGTCACAAGGATTACACATGTGAAAAATGAAAGCCCTTGCACCAACTGTTCAAAAGTTATGGCCACGGTTAAAGATTTCCAAAAGTAGGTCAAACTCCAAGGTCAAAGGGTCAAAGTTGTTGGTATCCAAAGGAATGTCTTGTCACAAGGATTTCATATGTGAAAAAATGAAAGCCTTAGCACCTACCATTCAAAAGATATGGCCAATGTTAAAGTTTTTCAAAAGTAGGTCAAACATGTAGGTCAAGGTCAAAGTTGTTGGTATCCAGAGAAAGGTCTTGTCACAAGGATAACACATATGAAATATGAAAGCCCTAGCACCAGCCATTCAAAAGTTATGGCTAAGGTTAAAGTTCGGAAAAATTTTGCAAAACTGGGTCAAACTCCAAGGTCAAGGTCAAATATGGTGGTACCCAAAGAAAGGTCTTGTCATAAGGAATACACATGTGAAATAAGAAAGCCATAGCTCCAACCAATCAAAAGTTATGGGCAATGTTAAAGTTTTTGCGGACAGACAGACAGACGGACGGACAGGGCAAAAACTATATACCCCCAAATCTTCGATACGGGGGCATGATAAAAATACAGCTGTAGTCTGTTGCTGAAATTAGGGGTGATAATTATGGCATATATTTTGAATGAAGTTTATTCTCATTTTTACATGTGAAAATTTTTTAGAAAGAGTTGTCTGCCCTTAAAAACTGGAGAAAGGTGGGTCAAATTATGGAAGATTTTGTGTGCAACATAGGTTTTTATGCCCCTGTATTGAAGATTCGGGGATATACAGTTTTTGCCCTGTCTGTCCGTCCGTCTGTTTGTCTGCAAAAACTTTAACCTTGCCCATAACTTTTGATTGGTTGGTACTGTGGCTTTCATATTTCACATATGTATTCCTTGTGACAAGACCTTTCTTTGGGTACCACCATATTTGACCTTGGAGTTTGACCCAGTTTTGCAAAATTTCACCAATCTTTAACCTTACCCATAACTTTTGAACAATTGGTGCCAGGGCTTTCATACTTCACCTGTTTAATCCTTGTGACAAGACCTTCCTTTGGATACCAACAACTTTGACCTTTTTGACCTTGACCTAGGAGTTTGACCTATTTTTGAAAAACTTTAACCTTGGCCATAACTTTTGAACGGTTGGTTCTAGTGCTTTCATACTTCACATGTGTAATCCTTGTGACAAGACCTTTCTTTGGATACCAACAACTTTGACCTTGGAGTTTGACCTACTTTTGGAAAACTTTAACCTTGATCATAACTTTTGATGATTGGTGCTTCAGTTTTCATATTTCACCTGCGCATTTCTTGGGAAAAGGTCTTTCCTTGAGCACCATTCATTTTGACCCTGACCTTGATATTTGACATACTTTTGAAAAAAACTTTAACCTTTTCCATATCTATTCAATGGTTGCTGCTAGGGCTTTCATATTTTACAGGTTTATTCCTAGAGAGTAGAGACAAGACCTTACTTTGGGTAGCAACATATTTGATTTGCATTTGAGAAAGTTTAACCTTTGCTGTTTCACAAACACATCTTGTTTTTTTTTTAAATGTCATCACTGAATAACAGGTATAATTATACTTTCATTCACATGTTTATATATATTACAAGAAGTTATTCATGTAGATCTTTGATTCATGCTATGAAATGAAGATGGTTTCAAATGAAAATTGAAAAAAAAACCAAGGTGTTTTTGTGAAACACTGATGCCCCTGTATGGCAGCTCAATCACAGCAAAGGTTAAACTTTCTCAAATGCAAGTCAAACTCTAAGGTCAAGGTCAAGAGATAAAAAATGTTGGTACCCAAAGAAAGGTCTTGTCAAATTAGGAATATGTACATCTGTGAAATATGAAAGCCCTAGCACAACCATTCAAAAGTTATTACCAAGGTTAAAGTTTTTCAAAAGTAGGTCAAAATCAAACGTCAAGGTCTAAATTAATGGTATCCAAGGGAACGTCTTGTCTTCAGAAATACACTTGTGAAATATGAAAGCCCTAGCACCAACTGTGTAAAAGTTATTGCCAAGGTTATAGAGTTTTTCAAAAGTAGGTCAAACTCCAAGGTCAAAATTGTTGGTGCTGAAAGAAACAGTCTGATTAAAATCAAACTCTAATCTCTAGCTCCTTTTTATTTTGATTGTCGCATGAAGCATCAACCATTCAAATGTTATGGCCAATGTTAGAGTTTTCCAAAAGTGGGTTAGATTATAAAGGTCAAGGTCAAAAGGTCTAAATTTTTGGTACCCAAGGGAAAGCCTTGTCATATGGAATAGGCCTACACGTTTAATCTGAAAGCCCTAGCTCCAACCATTCAAAAGTTATGACCAAGGTTAAAGTATTTTAAAAGTGGGTCAAACTCCAATGTCAAGGTCAAAATTGTTGGCACTCAAAGAAAGGTCTTGTCACAAGGAGAAGGCTTTTGAAATACGAAAGGCCTAGCATCAACTGTTCAAAAGGTATGGCCAAGGTTGAAGTTTGGTAAAATTTTGCAAAAGTGGGTTAAACACCAAGGTCAAGAGGTCAAATATGTTGGTACCCCAAAAAGGTCTTGTCAGAAGAAATTTTCATGTGAAATATGAAAGCTCCAAGTAATCAAAAGTTATGGGCAAGTTAGTTTTGCGGACAAACAGACAGACGGACGGACAGAGCAAAAACTATATGCCCCCGAATCATCGATTACGGGGGCATACAAACAGGCCTAATTTGGTTTATTCATTATTTGAAACATCAAATATTAGGGGGTGATCTTGACTCAGGTTATCTTCGCCAATCTCCCATGCAGAGTTGTCGTTCGTTACTCTCTCAGACTGAATGTATGAGCCGATGGTAGAGTGTATACATGTATCTTCGCATTGAAAATTTCGCGGGGCAAGCAGTCAAAGCCTTCAAGTGACATTGATCAGCAGCGTGAGCGAGGCGCATGTAGGAAGTGCGTTGGACAGGAAGAAATTTTACGGAAAAATAAGCTGAAGGTAATGTCATGAAAATTTCCTTGAAAAGGATTTTTTAACCATTGACATATGTTTTTGCAGCGAGCAAATTATATTTCTGACGCAAAGCTTTGTTATTCCCATGTGCACAAAAGCACTAGATTTTATTATTGACGTGTTCCGTGAAAAAAGACATTACCCGCGCCGCGAGCGGGATTTACGAAAATGTGTACTCGAATAAAAAGGCTTTGTACAGAAATTTATTTTCTTAAAGGTTACATATTACTTTTAGACGGAGATATATAACATTAAAGTCCAAGAACAACACAATTCTGGGTACACTTTAAAAAAATTATAAAAGAGTCTGCACTGGACATCCCAACAGACATTTCAACGTTGAAAAAATTAAGTTGAAATGACGCAGATTTATGGCTGAAAATGGAAGTTGGAAGGAGACTAAGATATGATGATTAACATTTATTTTTTGCAGTGTCTTGCCAGAGGGTTTCACAGGCTTCAATCACACCTCTGTTACTGTCTAAATTACAATAATCTCAGTGTTAATATAGGGTAATTTTTTTCTTTAAATAAACACTTTAATTAATGTTTTTAAGTTTTGTGTGAGTTATTGGTGTGTAAATCACA